AATACTTTCCGTATCCACTGTATATTTCAATACATTTCATCACAGTAAGTACACCGAATGTGCTACCAGCACTTAAAACATGGAAGTTGAATGTATGACAAACAGTTTAGGTTGGAAATAAAAACCTGAATTTTCTATAGTTTTAGAAAGTAAGCTAAATTTAATTTGTGATTTTTGTATTAATGCAAATAGGATTAATACAGCAATTGTATGTGTGCGTGTGTGTGTGTGTTCACTTTAGGGAAGAAAAAATATTTCTTGTGAAATGAGTTTTTGTTTTGAATTTATGAGCTGAATCTGTATTATTACTAGAAAGGTTTGATGTTTATTCATGTGTAACTGATTCTGTTTCACTGTGGAGATACTTTGAACTAATGATTCAGTGATTATATAGTTTTTAATTGATGTAAAAAACTGTTAGATTACATTTAGAAGCTTTTACAAAATCTAACGAAAATCTTCCTCTTCACTGTGTTTTCAATTCACTTTACAGACCTGGGGCCTATTTCAAGAAGGCGGTTTAACAAACTCAGAGTTCAAACCTGAACTCTGAGTTGACTTACTCAGAGTTGGAAAACTCTGAGTTTTCGGTTTCAGAACAGCTGAAAAGAGTTGGTTTAATCAACTCTGAGTTGTCTGACTCAGAGTTAGGCGCGTGCCACGCGACTATAAAAAGCCCTGAACAATGGAGTGAAGAAATTACGAGTCACCATGGCAACAGGACCAAGCCAAAATAGGTCTGCGTTTTTCCCCGACAGAAATGGATGTGCTACTACAAGCATATAGTGACTACGAGCCCATATTTCGTAAAAAAAAAACAAACAAAAAAAACAACACGGCTGCAGCGGCGAAAGAGAAAGAGTTAGCTTGGGGGAAAATAGCTGCCCGAGTCAATGCGTACGTTTACATTTTAATCATACAGTGTTCGGTGTAAGTAATTACTAAATAATGTTAGTAATGTTATTATTTGTCACTTGTAAAGTAAGGAATGGTTCTTAATTCTTCAATAATT